AAATGAATAATAATCATATTTCGTAACACTTGTCACAAAAATATTATTTTATACATTTTGAATAAAATCTAAGGAAAAGAATTTGCCTTCTCTATAAAATCATCAAATATTTAAATAAAGTTATTTAGCTGAAAAAAAAGGAGGTAAAATAATAAATGCCCAGTCTTAAGGACATTTATTGGACAGAAATGGACATTTATTGGGCAAATACGAAATATGCCCAAAATGCCTGGACAGAAACCCATCCCTAGTCCCAGTAAGATTTCTTTTAAATGATCTTTATTACTATAAGTATAAAGTACCTAATAAATGTTTTATATCCAAATAGTAAATTATTGTGCATCGAAATTTTTATTTAATATTATGTCGTCTAAAACATAATAAATATGCATAAACTAGACTCATAATGTGAATGTTCAGTTGTGCAAACAAATTATTTGAATTTATTCAAATATAAACATAATGCGTATATTGATAATGACAAACACAATAAGTGAAATACTGAATGCCTCTCTCTACTGACAACGTAGAATCGTGACTACGAAATCACTCAATCAAATTAGGCTCTATATCGAGATAATAGAGTTTCATTCGGAGCGGCCGACAGTGCGACGCTGGCATTTCACTATCGATAATGCTATCCTTTTCTACGGTAGGGGCGTGATTCGCTATTTTAAACTTAATGATACGGCGTAGCCATGAAAACTATAGCTGTCCCTGTTTAGCATAGAGGCGACCTATGACCTACAGAATCTATTGTGGTGAATGTGGTCAACTCGGCTTGTCATTCGATTAATTTATCTAAGTAGCAAAACTGAGCGGCTTAGCACGAGAGGTACTGCGTTGAAATAAACGATAAGTACTACATTATTATAGCACTGTTTTTAAAGTGATTTTGCTAATTACAATCACTGTGACTAATTTATGATTAATGTAAATCTAAGTATGGGCTCTAGTAAGATTATGATGGTAATACGTTTCACGGTCCTTGTTATAATTGGGTATCGTACTTATGTCGACGTCAATCTGTCTGACGGCAAGCTTTATAATGTATTGCTATTATCGCAGTAACTAATAAAAAACCAGACAAGAGCCAGTCAGACTCGCCCACCCAAGGTTCCGTACGTTATAATTGGAATTGAGATTATATAGACAGTTCATACCTCAATTTAGGTAGAGACATATAAAAGAAGGAAAGGTATTTATTTTCCATTCTTTGTTATAAATCGAAAAGTATACATCATAATAATAATTGTAAATCTGTTAAAGCTTGTGCTAATGAAGACTTTTCATGCGATCATACGACCCTACATGTCTCAGTTACCCCTTTTTCTACCCCTTCGTACAGTCACCCCACTCCACGCAAACCGGCAGATTAATATTTTCCGTCATCTAAAGCGTCACGTAAACCCTCAGTAGCTTCTATTAAAAAAACTGATGATTATTTGGACGCGACCAAAAGTCATGAGCGTTTGTTGATTTTTTTTGCTGCAATAGACGTTCGATCCCACATAAAGGGATTATGAATGGTGGGATTACTTATCAAGGTGCAAGATGGCCCCTCCTTATGTTATTCTGCCGTGAGTAAAGTAAATCCCAAAATCCCCGCTTGGGCTACCCCCCCCCCCCCCCCTACTGTAACGGATAGAATACATATTGTGTTACATATATTGATCAATAAATATAACATTTGCCCCATCGGAATTCGAACCCGGGACCTCTGAGTAGGTGACACCATTAAACCCGGCATCTAACCACTCACCGCTACGGTCCTCGACAAATTGTTAACTTTATATCTGTTGCATCGTCATCTATCATCATCATCATCATCAGCCTATTAATGTCCCCACTGCTGGGGCACACGGCTTCCCTATGGATGGTACAGGGAGATAGGGCCATGACCCACCACGCGGGTCCAGTGCGGATTGGCGGGTGCTAACGACTGCAGATGCAGCCGGGGCCAACGACGGCTTAACGTGCCTTCCGAAGCACGGAGGAACGTTTTAGCGGCTTTATAGTAGTAGTTCTATCTTAGTTTTTTAAATACAGTTTCGTTTGATACACACACAGGTGATTTAACTAAGTAAGTTTAAATAAGGTCTTGAGGCCTTATTGCAATAAGATTAAATGTATCTAGACCTTATTTAAAAATATTATCTGCATAAGTATGTTGTTACTGAAGCGGTTATTGAATTATATTTTCGAACTTTTTTAATTACTTAGATTTGGCACAAACTACACAAGGCGTGCGGCAGAGTCCGGTGGGGGTGAGTCCCGGTTTAGGCCATTTGCAAAAAAATGCTACATAAGCCTTTCCATAAAGAATACGTTTGTAGGTACCTAAGACATTTTTATCACAGTTACGCTTATATATATTCTGAACACAATAAATCAGTATAAAGGAGTAGGTATATATTATACCTAATATTGTGAAAGTAACCAAAATTCAGTTTTTCAAAAAGAAATATTTTATCTAAATACTGGGTTTAACTGCATACAAGACAGATTAAAAATAAATTTAACCAAACTAAATGTAGGTTAACTTATAAACAAACAAAGGTTTGGTTCGCCAAAATAGACACTTTCGGACACTATCTATACGTTTATACGTTGCAGAAATGTTGATAAGTTATCGGTGGTAGATAAAAATTACTTGTGTAAATAATAGATGCATATTATTCGACAATACTTACCAATTCGATCTTTATCAAAATCACTTTTCTGTTTGGTACTTATACTTATTTTATTATAAGTTATGATTTAGGACATTGGAGGATTAACTTTATGCAGCTCATTTTTATCTATGAACGATTTTTCGTAAAAATATATAAAAATAAACTTTTACTAATAGTAATAATAATATGAAAATTTTACTGGTGCTAAATAAGAAAGTGCAATCATAAATTTATGAGAATCATACATTAATGTACATATTAGCATAAGAAGTTAAAAGCTGACAGAAAATTACTAATGAAACGGCAACGGGATATCGATATAGACATCTCAATTATTATTTCACATATTAATAGGCTAAGGATACCTCAGGTGTTACAATAAAAGCAGATGAGTACGGAACTAGAAATCCTTGTGGTAACACTATGTACCTACTTACGTTACAAGTAGAACAGGTCCTGGCCCACTATATCAGAATATACAGAGTGAAACTACATCGAGTTGTTATCAATGTAATTTCTTTATTTAACTGTCTCCTACACTGGTATATATGAGGTGATCTCACAGTACCAATATCACTACTTAGAACTCGATCACGCTTAATATGGAAATGCAGTTAAATCTGATAACGTTGATTGTTCAATGTAAAAAAGCTTAGACCGCGTTGTTTCATCGATAGTAATATTTGACTATAGCTAATGGAGTAACACGTCGCCCGGAACGGCGCACTTACACCTAAATTGAAAGTTAATCCCGTTCCCAATATCATGTTGATCACAACCTGCATCAATGCCAGCGAAAAACGAAAACTCTTGAAAAATTACTCAAAATCTGTATATCCAACACATCTTGGTATAACACCACCACATCTTTTTGGAGCATCGATGCCAAAAGTAATACTGTTAACCCTAAAATTGGAAAAGTGTATAAAACGTTACAAGCGATTTCAAAGATCTTGCCCTTTTAAAACAGCTAAGATATGTGATGACACTTATGACCGCAGAAGCCAAGCACACTCGCCAAGCTATTGGGTCATTCTTTGTGAATACCTTATAATGCCAATACTGATGTTCGGGATAAGTCTTGTAAACATTATCATAGTATTTCGGTGAGTTCTTCAATCTTATGCAGTCTTCACTGATAGTGTAGTTTCGTTTAAGAATGTCGCAGAATGGCGTGGGCCATTTGCCACAGGTGTGATAGGGCACAGGATTCTCGAAACTGATGAGGAGATAATGGAAAGTAAAAGAAACCGTGATGTGGTAATTTAAATTAGAAATATTTGCCACAGAATTACAGAGAAAACAGTATGCCTACCTAATTTAATTGATGAAGCAAACTTTTTCTAGTAAGAAAATAGCGCGCATTTCCAAATGGTGTCACGTGCGCGTGGTGAAAATTAGAACTATATTATTTTTCTCTTTAGTATGAAAGTGAGACAAAGGTTAAAAGCGCTTTCATGGAGGTTTGATCGAAATTAAAAAAAGAACCGTAAAGGATACGCACGGCGCCATGTATGGGAGCGTGCGTTAAAATGTTTTACCGCACGCTCCGCTGCATGGCCCGTAATTTTGAGCTTTCGAACAATGTATACAATCTCCGTAAATGAATTATTTGAGCAAAGTTGTGGAAAAGGTTAATGAAGGTTCCAGCCCCTCTAGCATGACCACCGAAACGGGATATGATAAAGCGATATATCGGCATTAACTGTCAGACTACTATGGAGTTTGGCAGTAGTCTGATAGTTAATGTCGATATATCGCTTTATCATATCCCGTTTCGGTGATCATGCTAGAGGGGCAGGATCGCATACGCGCTCACACCATGTCATCTGCAATTTTGAAAACAATATTGCCCGGCAGCAAACACGTTCATTGTAAAATTGCGCTGGTGAGTGAGCTGGCGGTGCGACAGTATCTATATCTATTAGGACAGCCCTGTTCAATAATCGTACGACTATTTTCATCGCACGATTAGATCGCATCGTGTCATCGTACGATGCCGACCAAAGTTAGATCTTTTAAAATTATGAAATAATTTTGATTAGCTGAAGTAATGTTGATTTTTTTACTTTGTTGTTATTACAATCCTTAACTAGCGCTATATTTAAGGACTGTAATAAACATATAAGCAGCCGTAAGAAAAATAACAAACATATGCGAATAATTCAGTAATGAATACCTAAGTGTATTAAAATTCCAAAAGTTTATAATTAACCATCTAAGGCCGCGTTGTTTCATCAATAGTTAAATTTGAAAATAATTAAATCCTATAGAAAAAAGAGTGCATAAGCAAAGGATGACTTTTTGAATAAGTACTAGTTGACTATAAAATTTACATGTCTATATTATAAAGAGGAAAGTTTTGATTGTTTGTTTGTTTGTATTGAATAGGGTCCAAAACTACTGGACCGATTTGATAAATTCTTTCACATTTAGAATACTACATTTTCCCCGATGAGCATAGGCTATAGAGTATTTTCAAAAAAGTTCATAGCTTCCCGTGGGACCCGGACGAGGGGGACTAGGGGCAAAAGTGGTTTAAGGATGAAGAACGTTTTGTATGCAGATTTGGCGACAAGCTATCTTGGAAACCGGCGCGGCTACGAAATTTTTATATATGGTGACTTATCGCTAGTTGGGTGGGCCATAGCATCGCTCGATGGGCATCGCTCGATCTATTAGGTCATCCCTGTTCAATCATCGTAAGAATTATTTTCATCGCACGACAAGGTTGCATCGTGTCATCGTATGATCGTGGCCAATTAGGACGACACCACACCCTAAAACCATTAGAGAAATAAAAAAAAAACAACACTGTGTTATGTCCACATCTAGTTGGCCATGCAGGAAATGAGGAATACATGAAATTCTCTCTGTGTTAAACCTACACAATGTTGAATAATGTTAAGGAAGGATGGGGATCGCGTCGGATTTACGTCATGGTGCTCCTTTGCCCAATGATTAGCACGCCGATGTTCGTCACTTTACCAGGCGTTGCGACCGCACAAGGAGCTACAGGCTACCTGCTGTGCTACACCTTAATCTATTTCGCCTTTGGTATACCCCTTCTTTACATGGAGTTTATCATAAGTCAGTTCACCGCAAGAGACTGCATTGATGTTTGGAAAGTTAGCTCATGTTTATCGCACATAGGATATATCCTCATCTTGTGGCAAATATTTCTAGTTATAAATAACCATATCACGGTTTCTTTTACTTTCCATTATCTCCTCATCAGTTTCGAGAATCCTGTGCCCTATTACACCTGTGGCAAATGGTCCACGCCATTCTGCGACATTCTTAAACGAAACTACACTATCAGTGAAGACTGCATAAGATTGAAGAACTCACCGAAATACTGTGATGATCTTTACAAGACTTTTCCCGAACATCAGTATTGGAATTATAAGGTATTCACAAAGAATGATCCAATAGCTTGGCGAGTGTGCTTGGCTTCTGCGGTCATAAGTGTCATCACATATCTTAGCTGTTTTAAAAGGGTAAGATCTTTGAAACCGTTTGTTACGTTTTATACACTTTTTCCAATTTTAGGGTTTACAGTATTACTTTTGGCATCGATGCTCCAAAAAGGTGTGGTGGTGTTATACCAAGATGCCTTGGATACAGATTTTGAGCAATTTTTCAAGAGTTTTCGTTTTTCGCTGGCATTGATGCAGGTTGTGATCAATATGAGATTGGGAACAGGATTAACTTTCAATTTAGGTGCGAGTGCGCCGTTCCGGGCGCCGTGTTACTCCAACTCGGTCGTGGTGGTGATCGTGTGCGCGGCGACGACTGCCCTCACAGTTTGCACTAACGCCATGATGGCCTGCCCTTACGCCTATAATTATGGTACAAAACCATTAAAAGTGCTCAACGCCCACATGTCGCTGATATATGAAAAGATTCCTCGACTGCTGAATGAGTACCAAGGCGGGTTTTTTTGGGTAGTGCTTGCACTGACCAGCCTGACACTAATTGTAATCAGTACCAATGTAATTATAATACATCATTTGCTGCACGTGGCTGAATCGAGAAGTGCCAAAATTGCAAAATATCCAGGACTCACGACACTCCTGGTAGTAATAATATTGTATATCGTCACTATTCCTCTTTTGAGTGTTAAGGGGAGAAAGGCCATGATGGACTTGAGGCTCATTTTTAGTTACATATCAACATTCATGACGTTTCTAGAAACGATTGTATTTATAATTTGGTACGGATGGGATAGATTTACAGAAGATGTGCATTTTATGCAAGGAATACAGCCTAAAACCTACATGAAATTTGCTTGGTTGTATTCTAGTGCTGTATTGATTTATGTGTTCTGTTACGAAATTTATACAAAGTATATCGAATACACGGGAGGGATAACATATGACGTCGGTTGGATTGCTTTTATTTTATCCATGGTACTAATTGTGGGTATAACACTTCTCAAGTTGGCCGTTGCTGCCTACAAAAGTAAACTTAGTGAAATGATTAGTTTGGATCGAACTTGGGGACCCAGGGATGAAGTGCTGCAGCGGAGCCGAGCAATGTTCACAGCGCAGGCAATGACCAAAGAGTATTTGTATAGGCAATATCATTTACAAGCTGGGATACAGGCACGCCAGAAATTGTCTAATTGCAGAACTTAATGATTTGTACCAAATATTGATTTCAAAAAGCTATTGTTTAATTTGCGCATTAAATACTTTAGAAGGTTTCTGCTAAGGCACGTGGACTATATATTATGACTCATTGTATATTATTGCCTATAGCTATAAATATTAAACTTGTATCAACTATTACGTAATACTTTAAGACGTCTATGAGTCACCTCCGAAAATATTAAAATATATGTATCTACTGGTTTGTATAAATAATTTGTTTCATTATAATATTACTTAATTTATTCCCTAAACTAGTATACTTATGTGACTCATTGGTATCAGACGTGTTTTTAAATAAAAAAGCTATTAAGTTATGGTACTGACTTATATTCACTTCATAGCATTGCATATTATTGTAATGAACAATTTAAAATTATCAAATTAGTCTCTTGAGGCCCACTGCTGAGCATAGACCTCCCTAAGAAACTTTTACGGCGAGCATCCTGCTAAATAATACGGAAAAGCTTTAAATAATTTTAATTTATTAATTCATCGAGTTGTAAGAAAAATAAAAAAAAACAATTTGTAAAGTATGATCGCATTCTCAATTCGCTAAGGAGATTGCTCAGCTTCCATACATGTTTGGCCTAAAGACCAATAATTATGAAAAATTGTTTCCTAGATTCGAAATTATATATAAATTACTGTAGAAACGTATAATTTTAGCGGACACCCCTGAGAACTTCTATAAACCATATACACTGAACATATTAAAATAATAAAAAACAAATAAGTTATATAGTAAACTAGGGAAATCAAGCCAAGTACCGAAATTATGGATTAGATTCAGGTATATAGAGCATGTAAATTAACAGATAGTTGCCTGTTTTTAAAGTTAATGCATAAGAGTAACTTTTAAAATCAGGTGTCATCTATGCGTTTCCGGTTATAATAAGGTACTCTGTGACAGAAACTGTGTGATGATTGTGAATGAGCCACAGATAAGAGAGAATTTTTAAACTCTCGTTAACCAAAGAAAGCTAAGAGATTTAGGTTATATAGCCATATATTCAGTAGCTTCATTATTTTTGTTATCTTTTTAATATATGAATATTTTAGATTTTTAGTGTATCACACCTTATAATTTTATTTATTTATAGTCAGGTAACGTAGGCCCATAGGTAGATACCTTAAAGTCTAAACAGATTATAATGTGTTTATGGAGGTGTTTGGCGAAAAATGTATGGCAATAGACTTTATGATGTCGCCTACCATCTATAATAATTGTCTGAGCACATTTGCATGTAGTGAAAATGATAATATAGTTGTGGATATTAATACCACAGTGTAATAAAAAATGATTTATTTTATCGATCTTTACAAAATAGATTTGTTTTTATGTTATATAAACAACTTCGATCAGTCTTTGGCTAAATGTTACTACACCGATAGCCATTAAAAATGATTCGTATGTTTTCCAAACCGGTAAAATGAAAAGTCCTTTTTAAAGTAAATATATTATACAAAGGTGTCCGTTGAAATCTAATGACTGTAAATTAAAATATAAATTACGCCAGGAATTACCGTGTATGTCAATATCTTTTGTGCATTTGGGCCAAATTGAGCAATCTCCTTTGTAACTAAGTCGATTTAGTTATGTAAAATGCGTAAATACACTGCATATACTTTACAGTCTATGTGAATGAAATGCAATCAATGTGACCCAGGTCGATGCGATTAAACTTAAATTGCATATTATAAAACATTATACATTATCCTTCTCCAAAAGCTAAAAACTTACAGAAAGAAGCATACATAAGAAACCAAGAATTTCCAGTACTACGCCAATGTAACACTGGAAATTCGAACTTTTTAGACATGTGACAGGCACTCATCAAATTTATCACATTCTCGGAGGCTATAAAAAAGAAAGTCGCTGGCTGTAGCTGTCTGTTGCTCAGCAGTGCCCCTCCCCCCTCGCTCTTCGTGCTCCCGGTGTCCGACTTTTGTTGAAAAATACTTTAATAAAAAAGCGGCGCGCCATGCTGTCTACTACTAGCGATGTGTCGCAACTAACATTTGCAAGAAACAGCCGCTTCCACACTGTATCATGTGGGATGATCACATGCGTGTGAGCAGTGGCTAAGTAAAGTCGACGTTGGTCGGCAATGTATAGTAACGTAAATTTAAGAGTATCTAATATACGGATGACGGATGACTATTTTCCACTTCGCCGTGATATGTGTTTTATCATTATCTAGTAAAAAAGCTTTGTTAAGTTTCTTATATAAAAAAAAAATATTATGACAGTATACCTTTGGGCACCTTTAGGTTAATAATTCGACAGCGTGGGGTTTAAAATATTAATACGATATCATTGTAAATTAATTTACGCATTATATACATAAAACACGATAGACTAAACTAACGTTAAGTATTCCACAGCATGGGCAAAAAATGTTTCGGGCCGGAGGGCATATAACGAGCTTAGAATAGCAATTTCAATTAAGTCATACGACAGCACACATGCGCAAGCGTCGATGAGACGAGTGCAAAATCCAGTTCGAGCCGCATTGCGTCATACAAAATGAAACATTTAGAATGTTTGACCTGGCGCGGCGTCAGGAGCGACTAGCGACTGACTGCTGGCATTCGGCAGTGCCGCGGCATGCCATCGACGACTCTGTGAATTCCTGCCATTGTCACGACATCACCGGTAGGCTTAGTTGGTAGGGCTACTTCTCCAAAATAACCTTATTCAGTTGATTGTTCTGGTGCTTTTTTTTTATTAATAGTTTAAGGTTTTAGTTATTTTTGCAAATAAGAAATCGTATGAGAATGTGCTATTTCTTATTGTCCCTCATTTTCTGCATACGGTTTATGTGAAATATATACAGGGTAACAGGAAAACTCGACCTATTCCTTGAAAGGGGTTATACTAGAGGTCATTAGCAACAAATTAAGTCCAGTTAACTAGAGGTCAAAACTGGATGGTTACCGAGTTTAGACGGTTTTTCGATTTTTTAGAATTTTCTGACTTGCTGCTAAAAACTATTAATTGTGAATAAACTACTCGATTTAAAACATTAAAATGATACTTTTCTGAAAGCTGGAAAATTTGTGATCATTTTGACCACACGACTGAAGTGAAACTGCTTTAGCTCCATCTATATATATATATAGGTACCTATATATTTATGTGTGTGTGTGTACAATATAAACATGTATGTACATATACATATTTCATTTATTAGCTATAAGAGAAAGGGAGAAAGAAAATGTGCGCGCTTTCTCTTGCTTATATCCCCCATTCAAGTTCCGTTCGCCTTGCTCGAACACACTTTTCGTAACGCGTAACGCATTCGCCAGCTTAACCCCCAAGTCAAGCGTGTGTAAAGAAGTTTCACTTTAAAAATATACAAATCCTGTTCAAATCGCCTACCATTATTTCAAGCACGGAACCTACGACGCACTTCACTCGCTGTTACTCGCGCTGAAAGTGAGGTTTTATTTTCGGCAGCTGCCAAAATCCTCTCCTATAATTCGATAAAACTGGTGTCAGGACACGTCAGTGTGATCAATTTTCTGTAGTGTACGTTTTTTTTAATATACTTATAATAAAGTTAGGCACTATTATGTATATGTCTAAGGTATGCTGCAAGCCTAACTACAATAAACAATATTTTTAATTACAAATTAATTTAAGAAACCTAGTTTCTCCAAAGAGACGCTATTTTTTTTCGTTCGGAGAAGTAGACATAGCTTACATTGGTGCATTATATTTAACTTAATCACTGGTTAACTTCCTGAGGCCTAATCACGAATTTATGACAGCAACATAACGTATCGTCACCGTCTAATGTTGCATGGAATAATCTAGTTTGTTCTTATGTCCGATATTGCTCCTTACTATTTTTTCATAGAAACTTTGACGATGCGTTACGTTACAAGGCTGTCAAAAATTCGTGCCTGCCGTAATTAAAACCGTGATATGATATATAACGCATTTTAATTACGCTCAAATATCAAATTAATTAAATTAAGTGTTTGACAGTTAGACGCGATAAAACACGTGATATAACGTAAATTGTAGTGCTCATGCTACGGGGCTGTATCACATTTAAAAGGTTACGAACCAATATCGAATTCGAAAAGTTTGCGAGTCATTGTCAAATGTATACTTATTTTTAGTTCTCGTTACGTCCGTTGCGGCGCTGCTGTTCAAGATTCCATACACAATTTTGGCATTGACATTGCTGTCTCGCAAACTATTAGAATTCGATATTGGTTCGTGTTAAGGGTACTGATGCCATTTCATCGTTCATACGCAAACTGATCGCATTTAGAAGGCTAACAGTGATCGGCTATCAATTTCCACTGCAAAAACGTAAACAGGTAACTGTGAACTTTCTAACACTGAATTATCTTTGTCGCGGCCACATATTGGTTTGTTTCAGCATTCAATTTACGCACTTACTAAAAACTTAACATTTCAGTCCTTTAATACATTTGATGATTTGAAATTTGAAAATGATTCCAAAGTTAATACAGGCAGGATTAACTTGGCAATCGTTTTCAAATTTCAAATAATTTCTTATCAATGATGCTCAATAATTGCAATTTGGAGGAGCTCGATGGCGCGGGTGGTTAGCGCGTTCGGCTGCGATCGTTGAAGTTAAGCAATTTTCGCAGTGGTCGGTCATTGGATGGGTGACCATAAATCTTCTATCTCGAGTTCCTCCGTGCTTCGGAAGGCACGTTAAGCCGTTGGTCCCGGCTGCATCTGCAGTCGTTAGCACCCCCCAATCCGCACTGGGCCCGCGTGCTGGGTCATGGCCCAATCTCCCTTTTCCAACCATAGGGAAGGCCTGTGCCCCAGCAGTGGGGACATAATAGAGCGTAGGTCGCTGGCTGTGCGATGTAATATGCTGGCCCGAAGATTTGCACGGTGTACGGATGCAGTAAAGGTCACTATTTTTAAGACTTACTACCAATCATTCTATACGTGCAGTCTTTGCACCAACTATACGCAGTGGATACCTGCGTATCCAATATAACAACGCCTTCAGGATACTGTTGAGACTGGCGTGGAGTTGCAGAGTGCGTCAAAAATGTTTGCGGAGGCGCATACGGACGACTTTTATGCCATTATAAGAAAGAGGTGCGCTTCCATGCTGACAAGGCTCCGCTCTAGTACCAACAGCCTCTTGAAAGTATTTAATGACCGGTGGGACATTCCTCTGCTACGTCACTGGGTGAAGCTCCA